AACAAAACCATTATACCCTGATTTCCCATTTTCAATGGGTTCAGGGTATAAAAAACTCAGTTGCATCATAAAATTTGCTAGAGTTTTAATCAAGCTGTTAGCACGTGTAAAAGTTACAACTCAACAGTTTAGGCAGCATTGGCGTAACGAATTGCCATGACGATTAGTCAGAGTCATTACAGTTGGACGGCTACTGCAGTCGCTGCTGCTAACGGTGTTAATGACCCGACAGCTAAATTATGACCAATTTGATGCGATTGCATGTGGCAGAGCGAGATGGCAGATAATACATGTGAGTCAACAGCAACAGCAACAGCAGCTTAAGCAAACGCATACAGTTGCAGACGAACTGAGCGGTTGCAGAGGCACTGTCGCAGAACGTGAGCTATGAATGAAACGTCTAAAGCAAATAAATATATCTATATATATATATAAATTGACTATTTACATTTGCATTTAAAGCGCCATACGTTGAAAACAGTTTGCATAAATTGTTGCTTATTTGATTTAATTTATAGCCATTGCCATTGTTGTGCGGTTCGAAGCCAGACTTCGTGATGACGTCATAGAGTAAAAGACCCGAACGCTCGTTCAATTAGTCTGAACAAGTTTGCTGCTTAAGTCATTTGTGTGTGTTGTCCGCACAATTGGCGAATCATTGCCAGTGTCTTGCCAACTGTAGCAAAGTAGATTAAAACGCAAATTAAACTTCGGTCGATTCATAGAAAATTTAATTTTAATTTAATTTTAAATACCCTAATTAGCTTTATTCATAATTCGTTTTTAATTGTTGCAACACGTTAATGCACAGTTTGAGAGCAAAGTGCTAAATGTGTCGTCGATTTTAGTACAGCATGGGTGTGTGTCTAGGATGCGTAGGTTGTTGTCTATGCTATTCGTTTGCAGCAGTGGCTACAAAACTATTCCAGTGCTTACGCAACCGTAACTACTTGCAAGTTGTTTAAGGACATGGACAGTGAATGTAAAACTATTGGAACATGTTCCACAGTTCATTTGCAACTGTTTTATTGGATTTTCTACCCTAATGCAATTATCTCCAAACTGAAGTTAATTTATCAAGTTACCAGTGCCCGTATAACTGTTGATAGCTGTGCAATCATAATTTGTATAAATATATTATTTTTTATGTTTTAATTGCAGTCGCACTCCCGGCTCTCGTCAGCCCTCTCCTGCAGAAGAGACCTTGCCACGCCCACCCACACTGCTCGATCCCACACACCACGGCGGCTTCCCACAAATGCCGCACTTTAATCACATGCTCATGGATCACGGCCAGGGCCACGGCCACGGCATGGGCGGTGCCCTTGGTGGCAGCAATTCGGCGGTGGGCGGCGGCGGAGTGGGCAGCGGTGCTGCCGCCGCTTACGCGCATCAGCAGATGGCGGCCCAGATGAGTCAATTGCAGCCGCCAATGATGAACGGAGTTGGTGGCGGAATGCCCATGGCGGCACAGGTGAGCAACTGGCAACTGGTTTGACAAGCACTGTAAATCACATAATATGTATGTATTTCTCTCCTTTTGCGGCAGTCACCCATGTTAAATCACCAGGGCGCACAGACAGGCGGCCCTAATCATATGGAATCTCCAGGCAATCTCTTGCAGCAGCAGCAACAACAACAGCAAAATTTTGATGTACAGGTGAGTTTGAGTTTGATCTGTGATGGAATTTAGCGAAAATTGCTTAAGCAATCACTCTAAACTGCCAAGTTTTTGCTCTACAAATAGATTCATATTTATTTTAGGTGAATTTTTATTTAGCTTTTTTTTTATTATTATTGCTATTATTATTTGTATTTTTATTTTTTTTTGCAATTAACAATTTTATTTCTTTACATAATGTTTTATTCAATTTTTTAAATGTTGTTTTGAGACCCAATGAAGGAGTCTTTACTGCTTTATTTAATTATTTTAATATTTTGTGTGTTTCATATATATTTTATTAACATACCTTTTTTTTTTTCCTTTATATATGTATTTATTTATATATTTTTTATTTTTTTAAATTGTATTTTTTACTTCATTTTATTATTTATTTATTTATTTTATTTATTTATTTTTTGATTGATTTATTATGTATTTATTTTTTATTTATGCGTCTGTTTATTTGTATTATTTTTTTTATTTCTTAATTTTTTTTTATTTATTTACCTTTATATTTTTTTTCTTCTAGTTATTTAACTTTATATTTATTTATTTATTTTATTTTTTATTTATATTATTTTTTTATTTATTTATTTATTATTTTTTTATTTATTTATTTATTATTTTTTTTATTAATTTTTTTATTTGTTTTTATTTTATTATTATTTTTTTTATTTAATTATTATTTTATTATTATTATTTTATTATTATTATTATTTTTTTTAGAGTCATAGATATTTTTGTATTGGTTTTATTGCTCCTTCATTTTTTTCTTTCGTTTTCTGTTTTGGATTTTGGATTTTTTGGATTTTGTTTAATCCTAGGCATTAGCTATTCGTGTACTTAGCTTTTACAGGGTATCTCGTAAACACTTGAGTGTTGTTCCCTTAGTAGAATTTGCGAAACGGGGTCATGTGTTTGGTTCTTGCTGGTGTGCGTGTGTGTGCGTGTGTGTGCATTTGAAGTGGCCATTGCAGCTGCTAATTTACCGCATCCGGCTGAAAGCAGCTGCTGCTGTTGCTGCTGTGCGTTGCACGTTGATGTCACCCGAGAGCCATTTCCGGCACACAAAAACCTCTAAAAGTGAACAACAGCAACAACAGCAACAACAACAACTTATCGCTTGCCGTTTATTTCGAAACAAAACGGAAATCGGATTTATTAGCCGCAAAATTGCTTTTAAGCATTTGCCCGTTCATTTGCGCAGTGGCTCTCAAACCAATATCCTTGTCTGCCTCTCTCTCTGATTCTATCTCTCTTTCTCTCTGTCTTTCTCTTTCTCTGAGTCTCTGCCTGTATTACTTCTCTCCTTGACTCTTTCCTCGTAATGACATTTCTCTTGGCATTTTATCTTGTGGCGTCAAATTGAAAATCAATATATGTTGCTGCAGCTGCATCTGCAGCGGCTGTTGCTGTTGCTGTTGCTGTTACAGTTGCTGTTGCCATCTTCCGGTACGACCACGCCCACAGCCTTGCCCAAGTCTTTGCCCATTGAGCCCTGGCAAAAGCAAATTGACATTTCCACACTTTAGTCCTTGTCTCTTGCCTCTGCTGCTGGCACTCCTGCTCCTGCTGCTGCTGCTGCTGCTGCTGCTGCTGCTGCTGCTGCTGCTGCTGCTCCTGCTGCTGGGCCAATCTGTACTTCCGCTTTCAACGCACAAACATTCCACATCCACCCCTTGCACCGCCCACAGCTGCTGTAATTTTTGTGTCGCTTTTGTCTTTTAACTTGCAAGCTGCAAGTTGGCTGGTTGCAAGTTTTTCGTTGCACTTTCTGCCTTTTGGCCTGCCCTGTGGTTCGCTTCTCGCCAACTCATGGCTACGCTTGCCACATGCCACACGCCACTTGCGCCTCAGTGTATGCTACAAAGAGTGCCACGAACAACAACAACAACAACAGCAACATCATCTACAAAAGTAGCTGCAGCATCAGCAACAGAACGGGACGGACACAGGCGGCAGCTGATGTCATTACGTTTAAAGTTAAAGTTTGGCTTTTTGTGAAGGCATGCGGCAAAGTCGCCTCTGGGGCACACTTGAGCCTCGCATATCCTATGTGGGGCTGCAAACAGTTAGCTCGATGCCACATGTCCTAATTGTAGCCGTTGAACGCCTTAGCCATAAAATCTCTGTGTGGCCTATGGATCTCTAATTGGCTAAATGTTTTGGGCATGTCGAAAAGTGACTTTGGGCGTATTTCACTAACCGTTTACTATGACAGCTAGAAAGCGAGTTAGAGGCATTTAAAAGTTTTTTATTTCTTTCAATCAAGCATTTCTTAGCCTCAATTTTGTTAATAGAAACATTTATGGAGCAATGGTAATGCCAGACAGGTGGCAAATCGTAACAAAACAATTCTTAAACCACAAAATATGCATAAAATATACTAATATATAAAGGATGATTAATAAAATATATTTTATTATTATATATTTTATTATATTATCATATTTTTATATTTTATTTATATTATTAAATTTTTTATATATA